GGGGAAATGAAAGGGAGAAAAATACAAGAAAATTTCCCAGAACTGAAGATGCATATTTCCACACTAAAGTGTCCACCAAACGCAAAGCACAATGAGATGACCTAGGCTAAGGAAATTTTAGAACACTGAGGAGGAATTATTAAAATTCTCCAGGGAGAGGAAAAGGTCACATACAAAGGAATCAGAATGCCATCAGACTTTTCAACAGTAGAAGTGGAAACCAGAAAAACAACACAACACCACCACCAAAAATCTAAGGAAAATGAATTCAAGTCTAGAATTCTAGGCCCAACCAAATCATCAATCAAGAATAAAGAATTTGTTCACACACACGAGCCTCAAAAAAAATTTACCTTTAACACACTAGAAATGGTAGTGTTGAACCGTACATTAATTCAAAAATATAAACATAAAAAATTATTTTTCCAGGGGCACCTGGGTGACTCAGTCGTTAGGCGTCTGCCTTCGGCTCAGGTCATGACCCCAGGGTCCTGGGATCGAGCCCCACATCGGGCTCCCTGCTCAGCAGGAAGCCTGCTTCTCCCTCTCCCACTCCCCCTGCTTGTGTTCTCTCTCTCAGTCTCTCTCTGTCAAATAAATAAATAAAATCTTTAAAAAAAAATTATTTTTCCAGAAAAATTTACCAAAACTGACCCATACAGGGGTGCCTGCCTGGCTCAGTCAGAAAAGGATGCAACTCTTGATCTCAGGGTCATGAGTTCAAGCCCCATTTTGGGTGTAGAGATTAAACAAACTTAAAAAAAAAATTACCCAGAGATTTCTAAAAAGCTAAATAGACCAATAATGGTAGAAGAAAATGAAAAATAAAGAGCTACCAGACCCAATGGCTTTGCAGACAAAAGTTATTCCAACTTAGATTTAATGCAGAGATTTTTTACACCGTCCCAGAAAACTTCACAACTCATTCTAGGAAGCCAGCATTTCATTAAAACAAACAAACAAACAAACAAAAAAACAGGATAGCATACATGCACACACAAATACAAAGGAAAAAAACTATAATCTGATCTTTCTTAGGATCCCAGATAAATCCTAAAATGAAATTCAATAATATACTAAAAAGAACAAAGCATGAAGAAGGTTTAGAGACCAAGAATGCAAGGTGGTTCAGCACCAGGACTCTATCGATACAGTACGTTAAGAGATTAAAGAAGGGGTCTCACAGGTCACCTCAACAGATGCAGAAAAGCCTTTGATAAAATTAAAAACCTAAATCAAAAAACTTTTTTTTTTGCTAAAAGCAGTAACTATAAGAAACCTATAGCAAACACCATATTTAATGGCAAAACATTAAAAGAACACTCCTTAAAACCCAGAACAAGATGACAAGATAGAGATGCCTTTCGCCACCCATATTCTTCAACATCATACTGGAGGACTTGACAGTGAAAGCCTCCGAGACAAGTAGAAAAAAAAGAAATGAGAGCTATAAATACCAGAACAGAAGACTCTGCAGGTGTGACTAACCAGAAAATCTAAAGTACCAAACTATTAAAACAATGTTCAAAAAACCAGCTATATATAATTCAATTATATTTTTAAAAAGCTTTTCTATAATAGACCAGTAACAAATGTGAGAATGTAGGAAGATAAAAAACTACGCCATCTACGGTGACAAATATAAAATATTTAAGAATAAAACAAAAAACTACATAAAGAAAATTTTACTGGGGCGCCTGGGTGGCTCAGTTGGTTAAGCGTCCGAGCTCTTGATTTCAGCTCAGGTCATGATCTCAGGGTCTGGAGATGGAGCCCTGCATGGAGCTACCCCTCCCAAGCTCCCCGGGGCACAGGCTCTCTCTCTGAAATAAATAAATCCTTAAAAAAAAAAAAAAATTTACTTAATGTAAGTTCCATAAGGGTACGGATCTCTAGTATATTCGCTATATACCCCAGCCTCTTAGATTAGTGCCCAGCACAGAACAGGTACTCAATGAACACTTGGTAGAGATGACTGACAAAAAAGAAAAGCCTGACAGAAACACTCCTGTTACTAGATGAAAGGACCCATATTGTAAAAATATCGAACACTCTCAAATTATGTAAATAAACTCAATGCAATCTCAATAGAATTCCAGTAGAATTCTTTATAGAACGTGATTGATGATTCTGAAGTACATTTTTTTAAACACATAGACTAATCAAGAAACTTCTAAAAAAAGAACATGCCATCATATAGACATAACATATACCCCTACATACCCGCATATATATGTACACACAATGAAATAGTAATTCTAAAAAACTGTTAATGGGAACTTAATATATTACGAAGATGGAAAAGATGGAGAATTCAATAAATCGTATCAGAACTGTTATAGGTCCGAAAAGCACACAACACCCAAAACAAAACTCCATATGGAATTAAAGCTAGATATAAAAAAGCACAGAATCATAAAATGTTAAAAGCACAGAGGAACTCTTGGCATAGAGACACCATTACAAAAAGAAAAAAAAAAAAAACTTAAAAAACAAGTGACATATTTCAGAGTAAAAATTTTAAACTTCCATATAGTGAAAAGTTTAAAACAAAATTATTTATAGGACAAGCACAATTTTTTAAAAAGGGGTTAATAATCCTGATAAAATATACAAGGACTGAAAAATATATAAATAATGACAAAGAGATCAACCACCCAATAAAAAAAGCTAAATGATATAAACATGCAATTCACAGAAAATATATGAAAAGATGCCTAATTTCTCTGTAGATCAGGAAAATATTGCAACATTACGGCTATTCTGTCCCAAGATGAAAAAAATTAAAAAGATCCTTAGAAAGGGCATGGGAAATGGGGTACTCCCACACACCACTGAGGGGGGATAAAGTGGTACCAACTTTTTTTTAAGGACAACTTTCAATAGCTATCACAATTTTAAATATATGTAACTTGCAACACAGTATTTCCACTTCTAGAGGTCTGTATCCTCCAGAAAACTGCATAAGCACACTAACTTGTGTCTTAATAGCTGTTTAGCACAGTATTTTCCACAGTAGTTTAAAAGCAGAAATAACTGAAATGGCCATCAATAAAAAAATGATTAAATGCTCAATAGTATTGACATGGAAGATCCCCAGGACCTACTTTTTTTTAAGATTTTATTTATTTATTTGAAAGAGAGAGAATGAGAGCAGGCGCACAGGGGGCGGAGCAGAGGGAGAGGGAAAAGCAGAATCCTCGCTGAGCAGGGAGCCCCATGTGGGGCTTGATCCCAGGGCCCCGAGATCATGGCCTGAGCCGAAGTCAAATGCTTAACCGAATGAGCCACCCAGGTGCCCCCCCAACCCTCAGGACCTACTTTTAAGTGAACAAGGCGAAGTGCAGAATACTGCATGATTCTGTTGGTACCATAAAAGACCACAAAGCTAAAAATGTTCAACTTACATATGCACAGAAAAGGGTACAAGAGGATTCATAAGGAAAATATTTCATACTTTAATTCACTCATTTGTCAAATTACTTGTTGAACACACCCAATGTGCCAGGAACTTGGAATAAGCGGCAAGTAAAACAGGTAGCAATCCTGTCTTCATGGGGCTTACAGACTAGGGGGAAGGAGATTTTTTTTTAAAAAGAAGCAAATAATAAAATAAAATTACAAGCTGGGATAAATGCTCTGCAGAAAACAAGGCAGAACAAAAGGGAGAAGCAGCAGGAGCCGGACACACCTTAGATAAGGCCTCCTGGGGAGCCTGAGGCCTGGCTAAGGAGCCGCCAGCCCCCACACGAGGGCGGGAACAGCGCTCCCAGGGCAGAGCAGGAGACCCTCCGCATGTCTGGTGAGGCCCGAGGAGCCACGGCACGTAGAACTCACAAACCTTGGAAGGATTTTGACTTTGGTCTAAGAGCAAGGGAAACCAGGGGCCTGTGATGAAACGGCAGGAAAACCTCCAAAACATCAAGGATAAAGCCTACCTAATCCTCTAAAACAGCAATTCTCAAACTTTCTAAACTCAAATTCATCAAGGACACCGAAGTGCTTTTACCTAGGTGAACTGTATTCACGGACATTTACCTTCTTACCAACGAGAAACTAGCAACTGAAGAGAACACGCCAGCACACATTCCAGCGGCCATCTGTGTCCCGTCTTCACACCCTACAGCCTCTGGAAAACGCCACCGTGCTCGGGGTTTGCTCTGAGGAAAACAGTGTTGGCCCAAGAGCTCCCGCACTACACTTAGAGGACGATACGAAACACGGGATTCTGACCCCCAGAAAGTAACCGAGTAAGGTACACCATGCATTTTCAAATGTTTAACTAGAAAGCCTCACCTCTAACAAGCAAAAAAATCACCTGACGGAAAGGCGGGAGGCAGCAAACCATATTGCCCAAAGTGACAGCTCTGCGTTTAGTCTGTTTTCTTCCACTTTGCCATACAAACGTTTTAATATCCAGACCAAAGTTCTGAGCAGGATGACTGCAACGTATTCGTAAGGAAGCAGGGCTCAAAAAGACCTCTGGCGTGCACACTGGGATGATGCTTCGGTAATGCATACCAAATGCTCTTGTCGGTGATACTTTACCACCTAAGGGGCTCCTTTACCAGAGCTTTCGAGCCACTCTCAAGTATTTTTCCATATTTAAGATTTAAAAAAAAAAAAAAAACCTACCTCAGTCAACAAAATGTAACTTCACCAGTGATTTTTACCCGGAATTTGTTAGGTGCCCTGTCAAAATCATGGATGCTTGCGAAACCAGAGGAAACCACGCGCGGGAACGCACTCAGTATCTAAAGGCATCTTGGCCCGCTCCGCCTCTGTAAACGGCTGATGAAGCACTAACAGACGTTCATCGGATCAGTGAGGGGTTCACGTAGCAGCAGACCCACGAGTTGGGGTTCTTCCCTCGGGATTCCTAGTTTCTGAAATGCCGCACTGCCCCGCACTCCTGCACGATGGGGCTCTCTCCCCCAGCTGCGTTTCTGCCCCGGGCCGGGACTCCACCTAAGCTGGTCAGAGGCCCCTCGCCCACAAACCCCGCTCGCCCGCACACGGCCGGTCTGAGCGGGTCGCGGCCCCGCAGGCCGCAGCCTCGCCGCCCGGGGCCCGCCGCCGTGCCGAGGGGCCCACGGCTACGTGCAGGCGAGCCCCGGCACCGAGGCTCGCGGGCCACCGCGCCGCGGAGGCCGACGCGAGAGGCAGGACGACGCGGGCCAAGGGAGCCCCCCGGCCCGTCCCCCCCGCGCGGGGCGGCTCACGTACCTCCGGCGCCGGCTCCTCCGCCCGCTCCCAGGGCGGCCGCCATGGTGCTCGCGGGCCCGGCCTTCAGGGTCGCCCCGCCAAGCCGGCCGGTGGGCCGCCGGCCGGCCGGAGCCGGGAAACGCGCGGCGGAGGACGGGGGGCGGCGGGCCGGGACCGGGAACAGGGGGGAGGCGGCCGGCGGTCTCGGGCACTCCCGCCCGGCTCCTCCGCAGGAAGAAAACAACAGACTATCGCAACATGGCCGCCGGCCCGCCCGCCGCCGCGGTGCACGCCGGGATGATGGCGACCGGCAGGGCGGGCGCGGACCGCCTCCGCGGCGCGGCGGCTCGGGGCCGCCTCCAGGGACGCAGGGCAAGCGCGGAGGGCGAGCAGACGCGCAGGCGCCGCGCTCGACTCCGGCAGCCGCAGGGTTTGCAGCGGCGTCGGGAGCGGTTGCCGGCCGTAGTCCGGTCCCGGGTTCTGTCGTACGGCGCTTTGCAGCAGTTGGCGCCGCGCTTTCCGGCCGGCGGCCCGCGGGGCGGTGGGCGGGGCCGGCGCCGCCGCCAGGGCCGGGGCGGGGCGTACTCGGAGAGGCGGGGCCTGCGTCGGGAGACCGGCTGTAGGGGTTACCGCGACGCGGTGAGCCACGGAGCGCCGAAGTCAGTAGGAGTTTGCACTTCAGAGCAGCGAGGAAGGCCAGAAAACGAGGTGCTGGTGAGTGACGTCAGGAAAGGACACGGGGCTTGGGGAGCCGTGTGTGCTTGTTGGCAGTTGGGGTGTGGGGGCTGTGGATGCGGTGGGGTCGTAGAGTACACACGAGCTGCAGACCTGGACTCAGTGACAGCGAAGGTGGGGGGCTTACGGGGGAAGGAAAGAAAGGGCCGTCGAGATGTCAGAGGACTTCCTAGGGACCGAGAACTGCCAGCAGAACCTGCCAACAGGTTCTGAACAGAACGCTCTGCCAGCAGAGCGTGTTGGAGGAGGAAAGAGGAAGTAAGACGTGAGCTGCAAAGGGGAACAGGGGCCAGAGGCATCCAGGACTTTGGGGCATTTTCCTGAAGCTGTAGGGCGTATGAGAAGGCTCTAACAACAGAAGTAACATGATAAAATTTGTGTTTTAGGAAGACGGCTCTGACAGCAGGAGAGCCGATGGGCAGCATGGAGAGGTAAGACACCCTTAGGAAACGGCCGCCGCAGTCCAGGCAGCAGGTGCCTTCCTGCATGGGAAGGTGGACATGTGACAAAAACCTTACTGGTAGACTACACGAACTATAAAATTCTTTGAACTTTTACATACGTTTGAAGTTTTTCATAATAAAATGTTTGAAAAAAATAAGCTTTCCTGGATTAATAACTAATGTAAGTAATTCTCATCTAAAAGATAAAAACCAAAGAACAATTTTAGAAGTTATTTTGATTCAGCTGCATGTAATCACTGCAAAAAATAATAACGATAAGCTTGGTAAGCAACCGGCATAACTAAGTCTCCGTCAGAAAGCACATCAGCACATCCGGATTTCAAATGGCTTGAACCTCTAATCAGCTTGCATTACTTTTTGAACTGCGGAGGATGGAATTCCTAACTCAGAAAATGTTTTTCAGGTTGGTTTCACTGGTGATCTAATCACACACACACATCCTGGTGATCTTGAGAAGGAAGATTCAAAAAACCAAATACCCAAAGATGAAACAATCTCATAGATACTTTGTAGCCAGGTTATAATTGAGGAAAGACCTCTATCTCAGTTATGAATGACCTAAAAATGAATTTCTCTAGGACACAAATCTCTACATTTTTTCATAAGACACCCACTGGAAAAACTTGAGCATGGACACCAAATATTTGAAGATGTTGATAAATTACAGCGAGTAAAAGTTTAACAAACCCCTTTTCTTCTCAACAGACATTTCACTTTGGGTTGACTTTTTAGCTTGTCCTAGAAACCTAATGGAGTCAGAATGTCAGCTGTGTTATAAAACATCATTGATCCTGTTAAAGATGCACTCTGGCTGGTACACTTTTTCTAGCTGGAGAAAACGGAATGATCTTTAAACATCTGTCAGGAAGCCAGACCTTTAGGCTCTGTTTTAACTGAGTTTGGGGATCTAAAAGATAAACTCAGGTAACTATTATGAGATGTATCAGTTCCCATGGCCGAAGACTGCTGAGCCAGGGCCACTCCTACTCCATCTTACCCTGAGTGACAGCTGGGGAGTCCCGAGCAGCTCTGCCAGGAGCTCATGCACACCTATATGGACCGCAGAGAGGAGTACCCGATAATGCCCTGCCCTCAACATGTGTTTCTTCTCTGTCCTCTTAAATGAAGCTGCTGCCAGGTGTGGCATTACAGGAGTGTAAATGGTTAAACCTAAGAAGACCTCCTAGTGGGCACTTACAATTTCATACATCTCCCACTGAAAATCTTACACGTTCAGCTTTGTTTTTAGTTAAAAGTGAATATAGAAGCTTTCTTCTTATGTCAATAGGGACTGAAAAGTCTAGGGCCCCTCCCTCCTGCTCTAAAACTGATTTTGCAGAAAAAAAAATTGTTGGGTTGCTGGATTTTAGAAATTAAGACAAATCTCCAAGGGATCAAAAGAGAAGGGGGGGAGAAAAGGCCTAAGCTGTAAGTCATGAGCATATAAGAAAGGTAGGTTTCTCTGAGGGAAGGTACCCTGTTGGCACTGGTAATAAGAAATAAGTTCTTAGCCCTCTGGTGCGGTGAGAGAGTATGAACGTGAGGCTCCCAGATTAAGCCAGAGATCCTTGAAGGGCTTCCTCAAATTATGCTTCCATGTTTTTCACAGTTTAAGATCCACCAACTGTGAACTTACAATCAGAGATCATGAAATACAAGGGAAGAAACCACTGTAATTGAGAGTTGGAAAAATAAAAACTGTAGATTGTACTTGCAAGGACCTCAGATATTAAAATTATCAGAAACAAAAAATATGAACTGTTTAAGGAAATGAGTGAAAGTGAGAAACCAAGAGGAGCCCCCACAGTAACCAGAGAGCCGTGTGGCTGTCCTTTTGCTCTCCCAAACAGTCTTGTCCTAAAGCCATTAGGTGACACTGGTGGTGACATGGCAGGGGCGGGGGAGGTGGACACAGCTGTGCTGACCCAGATCTGAGTATCAGACCCCATGCCCCATAAGAGGGCTGCCCAGTATGGGAAGTGAGATCAAAAGGGTGAAGATTATGTCCTTGTTTATTGGCAGGCCAGGGTAAGGAGTCACCCGCGCAGAGTAAGGAGGGCCTCTGCCCATGGGACTAGTGCAGCACAGAGAGTCCCAGCCTGGCTAGGGTACCAGGACGTCACCCCGGGTGGGCACATGGAATCTACTCTATGTTAAACATTTCTATAAGTTTTGAATTGCTTTGAAACAAACAAAAAATACTAAAAACAGGAAAGGACCAAAGAGAACGTTGTTTAAAAACGTAATTGCTGAATTGTGGTGATGGTGATGTTATCACAGGTGTGTGCACATGTCCAAACTCATCCAATCGTGTACACTGAATACGTGCAAGTTTTTGTGTGTCAATCATACCCCCATAAAACTATGACAAAATGAACCTTTGGAGTAAAATCCCAACAGAAAGGTTAAATAGGTGAGACCCAGTTGAGGGAATTTTAGAGTTGAGGACAGGCAGGAATGGATTGCCCAGAATGGACCACAAAGAGGAAAGCCATGGAACAGCGTGACTGAGGCGTTTTGCAACTGGGAGGGCAGAACAAGAGTGTCAGACTGCAGGTGCACGGAAGAGAACAAAGACCGCGGTGTCAGACTGCAGGTGCACGGAAGAGAACAAAGACCGCAGAAGAGAGGCAGTGTCTGTGAAGATGACTCCTGAGAATTTTCGAGAACCAATGAAAGACATAAGTCCACAAATACAGGAAGCATGATGAGCATCAGGTAAGCAAAGTTAAGAGAAATCTACACCTAGGTGCATGTGATGTAACTAAAGAATATGTCCAAAAAAGAGAAGACCTTAGAAGCAATGAAAAAGAACCTGCCACATCTGGTCATGCCAGAGCAGCTGGGGCAGGCTCCCTGCACATGTTACAGCATGAAAGCTGGACAAATGTGAAACGCACTGTTTTCTGGCGTTGGACAACATGCAGCGCTGGACCGCGGTCACCGAGACAGAGGAAACCACCACAGCGGGCCTTACCATCCAGCTTTCTGCCGGGAAGCACTTTCTGGACGTTGGAGGAGGAGGGGAAACTCAAGTAAAACCCAGCGATCATAATGACTTGAGAGATCAGAGTTTCGAGGAGCTGATGGGGGCATTTGTGGGGCTCAGTGCTAGAGGTGATGGTGCTACATTGAGAAGGAGCCCCAGAAATCTGCATGGGGTCACCTGGAATGTCACTGCAGGTGAAACCCCATGAGGATGGGAAAAGTACAAGAAGAGTCAGCTGTAAGTGGAACAGTTCCCAGAGTTCACACCACTGTCCCCATGATCTCCATGGATGTGTTCAGAGCTCCTGAGGTATGTGCATCCCACTTTAGATATGGCTGCTTCTCCAGTCCCTAGGCCAGCATTTCTCAAGGTGCCATCAATCTTAGAAATTTGCTTTAAAATCACTTTTGGGTGGGCGCCTGGGTGGCTCAGTCCATTAAGCGTCTGCCTTCGGCTCAGGTCATGGTCTCGGGATCAAGTCCGGCATCGGGCTCCTCTCACCAGTCAGAATGGCTAAAATTAACAAGTCAGGAAATGACAGATGTTGGCGAGGATGCAGAGAAAGGGGAACCCTCTTACACTATTGGTGGAAATGCAAACTGGTGCAGCCACTCTGGAAAACAGTATAGCAGTTCCTTAAGAAGTTAAAAATAGAACTATCCTATGACCCAGCAATCACACTATTAGGTATTTACCCAAAGGATACAAACGTAGTGATTCAAAGGGGCACCTGCATCCCAGTGTTTATAGCAGCAGTGTCCACAATAGCCAAACTGTGGAAAGAGCCCGGATGTCCACTGACAGATGAATCAATAAAGAAGATGTGGTGTACACACACACACACACACACTGGAATATTAGCCATCAAAAAGAATG